AGAATGTCACGGAGAGGGCGGTGACCTGAACAACAATTCACCTCCCACACAGCACAATCTTGAGGTTCCATTTTGCTTTTCATAATATGCCAGGGGTAGAAAGAATCTAGATCTAAAAATTTTCAGACTTCAGTTTTCAAACTTCTAGTCATAGAATTGTGAAACTTTTTGGTCAGACAAAAAGTTTTATTTGTGGAATACCATTATCAAGAATTAGGCACATGAAGATTTTTAATTCTCGCAATAGTCTCATTACTGTTATGACCCCCATTTTCCAGATAAGGAAACTGAGTTGCACAAAAGAATCAGTAACTTTTCCAAGGTCACAGTTTTGTCTTGTTTTTTAAGATGGCTCTGTTGCCAGACTGGAATGCAGCGGCACAATCTCAGCTCACTGTAACCTCTGCCTCCTGGGTTCAAATGATTCTTCTGCCTCAGACTCCTGAATAGCTGGGACTACAGGGGAGAACCACCACACCTGGCTAATTTTTTGTATTTCAGTAGAGACAGAGTTTCACCATGTTGACCAGGATGGCCCCAATCTCCTGACCTCGTGATCTGCCCTCCTCGGCCTCCCACAGTGCTGGGATTACATGCATGAGCCGCCATGCCTGGCCCAGGTCACACAGTTTTTAAGTGGTGAAGAATTTAAATCTGGATCTGATGAAGTCCAGAACATGGCTTTGTATCACTGGGCTGTAGGAGGAAGCCCATTAGATAAAATTGTAAGTTGGGCCAGGCACAGTGGCTCATGTCTGTAATTCCAGCACTTTGGGAGGTCAAGGCAGGATAATCACTTGAACCCAGGAGTTCGAGGGTGCTGTGAGCCACAATTGCACCACTGCATTCCAGCCTGGGCCACCGAGCAAGGCCCCATCTCTAAAAAATAAAAATAAATTAAAAGAGAAAAAGTAAAATTATGAGTTGAGCTGGCTTGGCTTGGGTTTGGGTGTGTTGGGTTGGAAGAGTCCAGCTCACTGAGACTTTCCTTTGTGCCCTGTATGGTCCTTGGAAACCTTAATAGCACCAAAGCAGTTAAAAAAAAACTGGAAACAAATGTCCTTCGACAGAGGAATGAATCACACCTTTTGGTATATTCATTAAATGGAATACTTAATACTCATTGATAAAAAGATAAAATTTCAAAATATGCTGAATGAAAAAGCTAAACAAAAATGAGAGCATACTGTGTAACTGCTTTTATATAAGAAAATGCAAACTAATCAATAGTGACAGCATGCAGATTTCTGGTTACTTGGGGGTAAGGAGAGGGTGGGAGGGATTACCAAGAAGTGCCAGGAAACTTTTTAGGTGATTAATATGGTCACTATCTTGATTGTGGTGATGGTTTCATGAGAGTCTCTCTCTCTCTCTCTCTGTGTGTGTGTATGTGATATATGTATCTTCATTATACACTTTATCCTTTCAGTAGGAGACAGCAAAAAAAAAGTATACACTTTAAATATGTGCAGCTTATTGAATGAAATTATACCTCAAAATAGCAGTTTAAAAAACAACTTCAGCTGGGTGCAGTGGCTCATGCCTATAATCCTAATACTTTGGGAGGCTGAGGCAGACAGATCACTTGAGCCCAGGAGTTCGGGACCAGCCTCGGCAACTTAGTCTCTACAAAAAAAATACAAAAATTAGTTGGGCATGGCAGTGTGTGCCTGTGGTCCCAGCTATTTGGGAGGCTAAGGTGGGAGGATTGCTTGAGCCCAGGAGGCAGAGGTTGCAGTGAGCCAAGATTGTGCCACTGCACTCCTTGAGTGACAGAGATCCTGTCTCAGAAAAAGGAAAACAATACACACACACACACACACCACTTCAAAATTCAAAAGACTTGCTCAAGCTCACTCAGCATGCTGAGGGGGAGTCAAGCCAGACCAGAGCCCCCCTGTGGCTCATACCACTGTGAGGAAGGATGCTTCCCCCAGATATAGCCCCCAGGTTTCACCCTGCACTGAGGGCCAGGGTAGTTTCTCTCCAGTCATGGTAATGTGGGTACTGGATAAGCCAAGGCTCTGGCCACCAGGCGAATGGGTAGGTCAACAAGGCAAAGTTGGTGGGAGCTTCACCCCATCAGGAACAGAAACAAGGCTGGTTACTGGAAACACCCTAGGGGAGGCTGTACTCACAACCAGGGATCTTTGACCTGCTAGAAGAATTAGAAGAGACAATTTGGAAAATTATCTGGGCCCACATCTACTGTGTGTGAGGGTCTATCCTAGTCCACTATCTTATGGAGACTGGTAAGGATGGAATGAGATAAATGCAAGGGTGTGACACTCTAAACAGGCATCCCCCAAATGGTAGCCATTACTCATCTATCAATTATTCCCTAAGTGCTTGCTCTGAGAGCAGAGGGAACAGATGCTTAGGCTGATCCTCGAGGCCAGGAAAGACACGTGGACAGAAAGCTTCACCACAGCACTGAAGTTTGTGAGATAAATGCTTTGAGGGCCAAGAGGAGAAATAAATTACTTCCAGCTGTGGAGAGGTTTCATGGAGGCTGTGGTATGTGAGGGAGGGAAAGGAATTTGTACATGGAGACAAGGGAGGCTGGTAGAGATCATTCCACTTACGGGGGCAGCATGAACAAAAGCAAGACACCTGAGGAGCAGGCTGGCTGGCTGCAGTGAGGAGTGGGAAAGACTGGAAGGGTAGGCTGGGGCCAAGTGCATGGGGAAGCCCCAGAGAAATATGTGGACACATCTGCTCTCCACCCCCACCCCTGCAGAAGCCTGAGCTCCGCTCTGTGATCTCATTCATTCTGTGGACAGCCAGCTGGGCTTCTGGCAGGCGGGGGAGCTTCTCCAATGCTCTGTGGCCTTGGAAGAACAGAGCCAAGTGCCTCAGCTGGAAACTTGGATTTCTGCTGGGGGTGGTGGTGCAGAGAGGACTCAAAGGAAATGAACCCCTCTGAGAAGCACTCGCCCTAACAGGCACCAGTGTCTCAACTCTTGGGCGTTCCCAATGGACCAGCCAGTCTGCACCAGGCCTCCCAGGGAAATTGAAAATGGAAAAAATCCTCAAGTTTATTCTCTCAGAGCCCACAGAAACTTTTTTGAAAGAAACAGTCTTAAACTTCTCTGTGGATAGAGAAGTCCACAAGACATTGCCATCTGGTGGCCAAGAAACGCATTTACCTTGTAGGCTGGGAAGGAGTCCCTGTACCCCTGAGGGACCAGAAAGTCAGAAACTGCCCGAGATTTGTTTAGTACTTTCATAATGGGACGAAAATGATGCTAGCAACCAGTTTAGAGTTAAAATAAAGTGTTATTTCTGGCGACCAAGTTCCCTGAGGTGCAGGCATTATACATTGTGCAGATGAGGAAACTGCCTGTGAGACAGATGCAGTGGCTGGTCCCATGTCCGGGCTGGTCAAGTGCAGAGCCAGGTCTTATCCCAGTTTCAGCAGCCCTGGGTCCCCAGTAAGTGCCCAATAAATGGTTAAAGTGGTGATTCTCAACATGCGATCCCCAAGAGCCTTTCAGAAGCCACATGAGGTTGAAAACATCTGTAAGATGCCTATTTCCTTAACAATTGTATGGTGAAGTCTTCCAGAGTCTAAATGAATGCACTGACTTCATCTAGTCCCAATGGCTAATGGGATGTGTGCTTGGGTATTTTTCTTTTAAAAATTCCTGTTTTAATTTCTAATGTAGTATAACCCACACAACCAACACTGTTTGAGATCCTCAATAATTTTTTGATTCTTTCTTTTTTTTTTTTTTGTGATGGAGTTTTACTCTGTCGACCAGGCTGGTATGAAGTGGTGTGATCTCAGCTCACTGCAACCTCCACTCCCATCCCCCACCCCTGCCTCCTTTAAGTGATTCTCCTGCCTTCTCCTCCCTCAGCTGGGATTACAGGCACACGCCACCAGGCCCAGCTAATTTTCGTATTTTTAGTAGAGATGGGGTTTCATCATGTTGGCCAGGCTGGTCCTGAACTCTTGACCTCAGGTGATCCACTGCCTTGGCCTCCCAAAGTGCTAGGATTACAGGCGTGAGCCACCGAATCTAGCTGAGATCCTCAATAATTTTTTTTTTGAGACAGTCTCACACTGTTGCCCAGGCTAGAGTGCAGTGGCGCAATCTCGGCTCACTGCAACCTCTGCCTCTTGGGTTCAAATGATTCTCCTGCCTCAGCCTCCCGAGTAGCTAGGATTACAGGCGCCCGCCACCACACCCAGCTAATTTTTGTATTTTTAGTTGAGACAGGGTTTCACTATGTTGGCCAGGCTGGTCTCAAACTCTTGACTTCATGATCCACCCACACTGGCCTCCCAAAGTGCTGGGATTATAGGCGTGAGCCACCACATCTGGCCTGATCCTCAATACCTTTTAAGAGTATATGAGATCCACTTGGCTGGTTGCAGTGACTCATGCTTATGATCCCACCTTGGCCTCCCAAAGTGCTGGGATTATAAACCTGGTCAACATGGTGAAACCCTATCTCTTTCTTACTGCTAGATTAGTGTTCCCTTCAAATCCAAGTGATTTTTAACTAGCAATCACTGCTCTAATAAATTTACATGTATCACCTCATTTAATCCCCACAACCACCATTTGCAGTAGATGCGATCATCACGTTTTATGTCTGTGAACAGAGAGGTTAAGTGGCCCAGCTGGGAGGTACTGGAGCTTCAACTCTATCCCAGGAAGTTTGTCTCCACAGCCTCTTCCCACTATTCCACTTGCCTTAACATTTGATAACCTTTTGTGCAATTCACTTGATACACAAAAATTTTTCAAAATATAGAGTCTAATGAAACTGGTGAAAAAAAAAGGAATCACTGATCTGGGTCAATGCCTCCACTTTACAGGTGAGGAAAAATGAGGCCCAGAAAGGATAAGTGATTTGCTAAAGATCACACAGCAAAGAATCAGAATCTACAGGGTGTCTGACTCCCAGGTGGGAACTGTCAAAACTCAAACCCAAGTAAACATAACCAACTACATGTGAGCAACACCAAGACCAGGCAAAACAACATGTCCAACAAAAGCAGCTCGATTTTATTTCAAGGAAGCTAGAAAGGAACAGAACAACTGAGGGTCTCTGCAGGAACACCATTGCTCAGCAAGACTGCCAAGTCCCAGGTCTGTCTGGAAGCCAGGGGAGGATCAGGAGCCTAGGAAAGATGGAAAGTTAGCTGGAACAAAGGCGCCACCTGCTGTGCACATAGCAATATTACAAAGGCAATAAACCTTGCCCGAAGATAATGTAATTCCTTTTACATGACATGTCCAGGGTAGGCAAGTCCAGAGTAGCAGAAAGCAAATTAGTGGCTGCTGGGGAATGGAGAAATGGGGAGTGGGGAGTGACTGTGTAATGGATAGAGGGTGTGTTTCTGAGATGATGAAAAAGTTTTGAAACTAGAGAGAGATGGTGGTCGTACAACATCGTGAATGTACCAAACGCCACTAAATGATAAACTTTAACCCATTTATGCCTAGTGTTCCATTACTGGAACGCTAAACTTGTGGGAATTAACTTATATCCTACTGCTCAAGATCATCACCAAGTTTTGATTTTTTCACACATAAAAAGGTGCAACATCCAGCATAAATGGGTTAAAATAGTTAATTATAATATCTTGTGAATTTCATATCAATAACATGAGAAAACATGTTTCCTATGAGAAAACCACATTAAGCTTCATGTGGTTTACATCCAACAGATAATACTTTTTTAGTTAAAAAAGTTCATATGCCCAGGCCAAGAGTTTCTAATCTAAGATGTGTGCATTAGGACTCCCCCATGTATATAGCTAGCTCAGGAAGAGGTTTTTTCCTTCTCTCCCTCCATTCCTTCTTGTTAGAGGGCACTTTTATCAAATACAATCTTACAGAAAAGCCCAATAGGGCTGTCTGGGAGCTCTGGAGGGTCCAGAGCCCCATCCACTCACCCTCCCTACAAAACCCTAGGGGTGGAGGTAGGATGTAAGAAACGGTGTTCTATAAGATGCTGGAAACTGCTGATGTTTTACTTCCCTAGAGGATAAGCCTTCATATGTGGAGAAATTGCACAGCAACCCCCACAAGGCAGGAAAGCAGGTTGGAGGTTTTAGCTCCATTTTACAGCTGGGAAGAACAAATCTCTGTAATATAAAAAGTGTCCAAAGTCAGTGTGAAATGAGGAGAGAATGAGAATTAGAATCCTAGATTCCAGGCTGGGCACAGTGGCTCATGCCCATAATCCCACTTTGAGAGGCTGAGGGGGGTGGATCACAAGGCCAGTTTGAGACCAGCCTGGCCAGATGGTGAAACTCCATCTCTACTAAAAATACAAAAATTAGCCTGGCACAGTGGCAGGTGCCTGTAATCCCAGCTACTCATGAGGCTGATAATCGCTTGAACCCGGGAGGCAGACGTTGCAGCGAGCGAAGATCGTATCACTGCACTTTAGCCTGGGCAACAGAGCAAGACTCTGCCTCAAAAAAAAAAAAAAAAAAAAGAGGGCCGGGCGCAGTGGCTCACACCTGTAATCCAGCACTTGGGAGGCCAAGGCGGGTGGATCACGAGGTCAAGAGATCAAGACCATCCTGGTCAACATGGTGAAACCTTGTCTCTACTAAAAATACAAAAAATTAGCTGGGCATAGTGGCGCGTGCCTGTAATCCCCAGCTACTCAGGAGGCTGAGGCAGGAGAATTGCCTGAACCCAGGAGGTGGAGGTTGTGGTGAGCCGAGATTGCGCCACTGCACTCCAGTCTGGGTAACAAGAGCAAAACTCCATCTCAAAAAAAAAAAAAAAGAATTCTGGATTCCTTATTATTCATCCTGGGCTCATTCCTGCACATGGGTTCTAGCTATGGATGAAAAGTGCATGACAAAAACAGATGCCTGTGACATCTTGTGACTTGCATTTGATGTCACCACATACACAGAGCACTGCTGTGGCTCAGGTTCCAAATGTACACCTTTGGGAAGGAACTATCAGTCAGCTGTGGCTGGCTCCTATCTGGAGGGTCTCCAGGACCCATTCACAGGGACAATGCCACCAGTAACAGTTACAGAAATCCAATTCAGGATATCTGACTGTCCTCCTGCCTTTGCCACTCACCTGGGTGGGGCTTTGGTTGAATCACTTTCCCTCTCTTGGCCTCATTTTTCTCAATCACAGTCAGGGCACTAAGTCACATCAGGGATGTGGCGATCATTGTAGTTCACAAGTCAAAGACACTACAGGGGCAGTGGCAGCTGGGAGGGCCCTGCTGAGACTGTGGCTGAATCAATGAATAAGGTGTGTCTGGTTCCAGAGTGAAGAGTGCTGGCACAGTGCCCCTTACTGCCTCACTGGATTACATAAAAGTGAAGGGAACATCTAGCTCAGATATGCTATTGTTTTTGTACCAGGCTGGAAGGAGGGCATGTGCAGGAAGCTGACAACAGTTTCAAGTAGAGAGAGTGGCACAGTCTGAATTAACTCACTTGGTCAGGGTACAAGAGAACAAGGCCCAAGGCAAAAGTGTCAACTCTGATGAGATAGTCAGTTTATCAAAGCCAGAGCCATGCATGGTGATATGTGCCTGTAGTTCCAGCTACTTAGAAAGCTGGGGCAGGAGGATGACTTGAGCCCAGGAGTTAAAGTATACAGTGCACTGTGATCACACCTATGAAGAGCTACTGCCCTCCAGCCTGGGCCACAGAGTGAAACACTGTCTCAAAGAAACAAACAAATCAAGAAGCCAAAGGTGCATTGCTTAGGGTCATATACTATAAACTTAAACCCTGCTAACCATGAAATGCAACCCCCACATCCTAAAGAGGACTCTGGGAGACATTACACAGTGCTCTGTCCAATGACAGGGGCTGTAAGGATTCCCTGAACTTGTGATTTGCATTAGACATATATTTGTAACCACTCCAAAGAAAGTGGACAGTGGATTGAAAAGAACCCGGGGGCTCTCCTGCTCCACTCAAGCTCTCAAAGGCCAAGGTGTTAACTCTGATGAGAAGTGTGAGCAGCAGGTTTGTTCAGCAAGTGCTGGAGCCTCACCCACCTGCCCCCTTTGGTCCATCCTGCGGGCTGTGGGGACCAGGTCCCTGCTACTCGAGGCCAAGGTAGGACACAGTCTTTCCTGTTTTCTTCAGGGTTGCAAGCAGAGTGTCCATGCTGTGCTCAGATTCAATGCAGACCTTCTTGTTAGGCAGGTCAATGTCATACTTAACTCCTGCAGGAAGAGGAAACAGGGTGTGGGGAAAGGGAGCAGAGACCCTCCCAGTTACAGCAAGAAAGAGTTCAGGCTCTAAATTACTACTCACAACTACCCCTTCCCTTTTCTCTAGAGCAGGGATTGGCAAACTTCTTCTGTAACGGACCAGGAGGTAAATGTTTTGGGCATTGTGGGCCACATATGCACTCTGTTGTATATTGTTTTATTTATTTATTTATTTTATTTATTTTTGAGACAGAGTCTCACTCTGTTGCCCAGGCTGGAGTGCAGTGGCATGATCTCAGCTCAATGAAACCTCCACCTCCCAGGTTCAAGAGATTCTCCTGCCTCAGCCTCCCAAGTAGCAGGGATTATAGGCACCCACCACTAGAACAGGCTAATTTTTGTATTTTTAGTTGAGACGAGGTTTCACCATGTTGGCCAGGCTGGTCTAATGCCTCAGCCTCACAAAGTGCTAGGATTACAGACGTGAGCCACCACACCCAGCCATTCTGTCTGTTTTTATAATTCCATTCTTGAACGTACAAAAATAGGCTGTGAGTAGGATTTGGTCCATGGGCTGTAGTGTGTTAATCCCTGCTCTATACTAGGGCTTTTTGAGACACAGACACACTCTACTGCCCAAGCTGGAATGCAGTGGTACGATCTCAGCTCACTGCAACCTCCACCTCCTGGGTATAAGTGATTTTTGTGCCTTAGCTTCCAGAGTAACTAGAATTACAGGTATATGCTACCACACCTGGCAAATTTTTGTATTTTTAGTAGAGTCAAGGTTTAGTCATGTTGGCTAGGCTAGTCTCGAACTCCTAACCTCAAGTGATCTGCTCGCCTTGGCCTCCTAAAGCGCTGGGATTACAGGCATGAGCCACTGCACCCAGCCAATTTTTTTTTTCAAAAAAGCAAACATTTCTAAATATATGTAGAAGCAGTAAGGCCCCCTACTGATCCTACCCCCAGAGATCACTGTGAAAAGTACGGCTTCTATTCAGACTATCACAGATAGACAAATGAAAAATAACTCTTCCAAATGGTATCACATTGTATAAACCGGTCTTGCTAATATTTTACTTTTCTTTTTCTTCATTAATTTTAATTTTTTTTTTTTGAGACAGGGTATCACTGTGTTATCCAGGCTGGAGTACAGTGGCACATTCACAAATCACTGCAACCTCGAACACCCAGGCTCACGTGATCCTCCCGTCTCAGCCTCCCAAGTTGCTGTAACTACAGGCACATGCCACCATGCCTGGTTAAGTTTTGTATTTTATGTAGAGACAGAGTTTTACATATTGTCCAGGCTGGTCTTGAACTTCTGGGCTCAAGCGATCTACCTGCCTCAGCTTCCCATAGTGCTGGGACTACAGGTGTGAGCCACTGTAGCTGGCCCATTCTTTTTTTTTTTTGAGACAGTCTCATTTTGTCGTCCAGGTGGGAGCGCAGTGGGGTGATCTCAGCTCACTGCTGCAGCCTCTGCCTCCCGGGTTCAAGTGATTCTCTTGCCTCAGCCTCCTGAGTAGCTGGGATTACAGGCATGAGCCACTGCACCCAACCCCATTCTTTTATCAAAAGCTACAATCTTCCATAGTGTGGATGTACCACACATCTACTTAATTAATCCACTGCTAAAGGTCACTGAGGATGCTTCTAAGTTTCACCACTATCACAATAATGTTATAGTAAACATACCTGAACTTGTCTTAAAAAATTTATAAAAATATTTTTATACCATGGATTCACAGAATGGAAATTGTGGGGCAACAGATGTTTGGCACATTTTTAATGTTTAATAGACATTGCAAAATCACTCTCCTAAATGTATATGCCAATTTAAAGCTCCCCAGCAGCCTATGGGAGGAATTAGAGTTTTATTCTGACAAAACAGTGCAGAAAGAAAGGGAAACTCAACAGGTTGTAGGCCTGGCCCCACAGTTGACTTGCTGGGTGACCACGGGGTGATGGCGGGTCCTGCTTCTTACAGGCCTCAGCTACCTCATCTGTATATGAAGGAGTCAGGGCTGGCCAGCTCCTGTGGTCTTTCCAGCTCAAGGATGCCACTAGTCTGTGACTCCTCAGCCCTAGCATCGTTCTTTTAGGGTCCTAAGCAACTCAGAAAACCCTCCTGACCCTTCTCAAGAGGTCACACAAAAGGGGACAGTAGGAAAAGATGGGGACAAAAGATGACGCTGAAGCTCAAAGGCAGATCCTCCAGCAAGGGACCTTAAAAATCATATGGTTGGCTGGGCATGGTGGCTCATGCCTTTAATCACAGCACTTTGGGAGGCTGAGGTGGGTGGATTACCTGAGGTTAGGAATTCAAGACCAGCCTGGCTAACATGGTGAAACTCTGTCTCTACTAAAAATACAAAAATTAGCTCAGTGTGGTGGCATGTGGCTGTAATCCCAGCTACTCGGGAGGGTAAGGCAGGAGAGTCGCTTGAACTTGGGAGGTGGAGGTTGCAGTGAGCCGAGATTGTGCCATTGCACTCCAGCCTGGGCAACAAGAGTGAAACTCTGTCTCAAAAGAAAAAAAAAAAAATCAGCCAGGCTTGGTGGTGGGCACCTTTAATCCCAGCTACTCAGGAGGTTGAGGCAAGAGAATTGTTTGAGCCTGGCATGGGGCGGGAACACAGGTTGCAGTGAGCCGAGGTTGCACCACTTCACTCTAGCCTGGGCAACAGATCGAAACTCCATCTCAGAAAAAAAAAAAAAAGCATCAACAGCAAAAGCTGATACAGATATACAAGATATAATTCCCATACTACAGCTGGGGAAACCCAGGCCTAAGGAAGAAGAGCCCACAGTCACGTAGCAAGTCAGCAGCCAGGTTTTTTCCACTGCCTCAGGTTCTTTCATATTAAGATCCCAGTTCACAGGGCTAGAGGCCAACCACTGACTCACTGTGGGACTCTGGGCAAGTCACTTCCCCTCCTGAGCACTGGCCTCAATATCCCCATTCCAAAGATGGAAAGTACAGCTCAGAGGACTGCTAATAAGATCACATCCATGTGGAAGCCATTTGAAAACTTAATATCATTATTATTTACGGTTTAAAAAATTTTTTTTAGAAAATTTTGTGATAGTTCATGTCAAGGAGAAAGAAAAGGAAAAAATCTGAGAAAGGCTGACTGAGTGCAGGCACTGCCAAAACTCTGATCACAACTCAATTATTACCTCATTCAGCCCCAGGGCCAGATCCCAGCCCTCTCTGGGCCTCAGTTTCCCCAGCTCTGAAATGACAAGGCTAGATGAGAATGGCTGTTCAAAAGAGGTGCTTTAAGAATATCTACAGGGCCAGGCACGGTGGCTCATGCCTATAATCCTAGCATTTTGGGAGGCAAAGGCAGGTGGATCACTTGAGATCAGCAGCCCAAGACCAGCCCAGCCAACACAGTGAAACCATGTCTCTATGAAAAATACAAAAATTAGCTGAAAATCATCTGAACCCATGAGGCAGAGGTTACATCGAGCCGAGATCACCCCAATGGACTCTAGCCTGGGCAACAGAGCAAGACTCCATCTCAAAAAAAAAAAAAAAAATCTGCATGTGAGTGATTCAAAATTAATTAAAAACTTTTTTTTTGAAGTAAAGAGAAAAGGACAAAATTTTAAAAATTGTTATCGTTTTAAAAAATCTCTCTTTTTTCTTGGATACAGGTCTTGCTAACTGCAGCCTCAAACTCCCGGGCTGAAGTGATCCTCCCACCTCGGCCCCACACAGTAACTGGAAGGACAGGCATGTGCCACCATGCCTGCCTAATTCTTTTGCTATTTTTTGTAGAGATGTGGTTTTACCATGTTTCCCAGGCTGGTCTCAAGAACTCCTGAGCTCAGGCAAACTGCACACCTCAGCCTTCCAAAAAATGCTGGGATCACAGGTGTGAGCCACTGTGCCCAGCCCCATTTAAAAAAATCTTAACATAGGTCAGACACAGTGGCTCATGCCTATAATCCCAGCACTCTGGGAGGCCAAGGTGGGCAGATCACCTCAGGTTGGGAGTTCGAGACCAGCCTGACCAACATGGAAAAACCCTCTCTCTACTAAATATACAAAATTAGCTGGGTGTAGTGACACATGCCTGTAATCCCTACTTGGGAGGCTGAGGCAGGAGAATCACTTGAACCCAGGAGGCGGAGGCTGCAGTGAGCTGAGGTTGCAGTGAGCTGAGATCACACCATTACACTCTAGGCTGGGTAAGAAGAGCAAAACTCTGTCTCCCCCGCCCCCCCGCCCCCTGCATAAAAGCACTTTTTTTTTTTTTTTTTTTTTGTATTTTTAGTAGAGACAGGGTATCACCATGTTGGTCAGGCTGGTCTTGAACTCCTGACCTAGTGATCAACCAACCTCGGCCTCCCAAAGTGCTGGGATTATAGGTGTGAGCCACCATGCCCAGTCCAAAAAAAAAAAAAAAAATGTTAATAGAAAATGACACTCAGATGTGCCATGCAGTACACACTGGAGATGACCAACATTTTTTTTTTTTTGAGATGGAGTTTTGCTGTTGTTACCCAGACTGGAGTGCAATGGCGTGACCTTGGCTCACCGCAACCTCCGCCTTCTGGGTTCAAGCAATTCTCCTGCCTCAGCCTCCTGAGTAGCTGGGATTACAGGCACGCGCCACCATGCCCAGCTAATTTTTTTGTATTTTGAGTAGAGACGGGGTTTCAACATGTTGACCAGAATGGTCTCGATCTCTTGACCTCGTGATCCACCCACCTCGGCCTCCCAAAGTGCTGGGATTACAGGCTTGAGCCACTGCGCCCGGCCGATGACCAACATTTTAACTAGTACTGCCATGGCTCCAGAGCGAGTTCTGGCAGTACTAGTTAATTTGGCTAAATCCCAACTCTGCCATTTACTGGTCATGTGATCCCAGATAAGTTACTTAACCTCTCTGAACTTCAGCTGTCTCCTGTTTAACATGGAGCTAGTCAGAAAAGCTATCTGAAATGGCTGTGGTGAGGATTAAACTATGTGATCCACATTAGCCACTCATAAACTAAAAAGAGTGGCTGGGTGCCATGGCTCAGGTATGTAATCCCAGCACTTTGGGAGGCCCAGGTGGGTCACCTGAGGTGAGAAGTTCGAGACCAGCCTGACCAACAAAGTAAAACCCTGTCTATACTAAAAATATAAAAATTAGCTGGGTGTGGTGGCAGGTGCCTGCAGTCCCAGCTACTCGAGAGGCTGAGACAGGAGAATTGCTTGAACCCAGGAGGTGGAGGTTGCAGTGAGCCGAGATCGTGCCACTGCACTACCGCCCGGGCAGTGGAGGAAAACTCTGTCTCCAATAAAAAAAAAAAAAAAGAAAAAAAGAAAGAAAAAAAAGAAACTAACAAGAGTACTTGGCATGTGCCAATACATTTTAGTTTTACTGTTATGATCAGCTTAACCCTAAGCATCTCCTGCTATGTCTGCATGTATCGGAACATGGCACAAGTGGATCTGTCTCCTCTATCCCATCCCCAACTGAGGGCCACTCACTCACCTCCAAGCTTATTGAGGACCCGAGAGACAGCTTCAGCACAGCCTCCACAGGTCATATCAACGGAGAACTCGTGCTTCTGAAACAAACAAAGAGGGACCATGACCTCAGCCCTGCAGAGTGACCCACACACGATGCCAGCAAGCAGGCCCACCCAGGCCAAGATAGAAGGGAGAGAGACTGGGCAGAATGTGGTTGGCATCAGATTCATCAGGAGACTATTTCTGAACCCCAGTCTTTTCAACTATAGAGTAGCTAAGAGTTTCTGCCTCACAGGTTGTATTCAATGGAATCATCCCTATAAATCCTTTAGTAGTGTCTGGCACATAGTGAATAGAATCACTTGGAGATCTAACTTAAAATGCTTTTTTCCTGGTCCTATCTTCAAAACACTTGATTCTTGAGCTATGAGCTTTGTCTCAGGGCCACCAATAACTCTGACAGGGATGAGCCCTCATACTCTGAACAATGCTGATATGGTGGGCCCACTTATGAACCAGAAAATTATTTTCTGCATTAGAGTCACCTGCAGTTTGCAAAAAATACAGGTTCTCATCAGCAGGTCTGGGCTGGGGCATCTGTTATATCTAGTCATTATCCCGAGTGATTCTGCTTTCATCTAAGGGCCTCATTTTCAGAGGCAGCATCTGGGTCCAGGGAAGAGAAAGGATTGCCTGGGTTCTCCAGTGGGCTGGAGGCCAGGCAGGAAGGGATCCCAGGCTCCTAGTCTTCATGTAAGCTCTACAGTCTCCAGAATATCTAACAGATCAAGGGTTTGAAGGTAAGCTCCCAGAAGACAGGGGTTTTGTTCAGTTCACTGCTGGATCCCTAATACTTGGAAACGTGCCTGGATAGAGTAGGTGCTTAATACATTTTTTGAGTCAATGGATAACTGACATGGCTCGTTTGAAATTCTGGGTCTTTTGCTTTGCTTTCACACAAGGATTACTTATCCCAATACTTCATTTTAAAATCTCTGAAAATGAGACTATCTGAAATCAGACAAATCTGGCTTCAGATACTAGCTCTTGCACTTACCAGTTGCAAGATCATCTAAGTTACTTCTCGGTGCCTTGGTTTCCACATCTGAAAATTGGGGATAAGAGTCCCGCTCTAGATTTGTGAAAGGGATGAACACGGGATTTTAAGTGTGGTAGCCAGCATCCAAGATAGCTTCAATGATCTCTGCATGTGGTATTTATGCTCTTGAGCAATCCCATTCCAAAAATGTCTCAGGTTGGTCTGTGTGTTTTATAGAACACAGCTTAAAGTGAGGTTACGTGGCTTCTGAAGCTGTAACAATGTCATAAAACACACTGGCTTCTGTTTTGTTCTCTTTCTGGGATCACTTACACTAGAGGAAGTCAGCTACCAAATCATAAAGATATTCAAGCAACCACAAGGAGAGGTCACAAAGTGAAAGACCAAACGCTCAAACTAACAAGCATGTGAGTGACCCATCTTGGAAGTAGATTCTCCAGCCCCAGTCAATCCTTCAGCTGAATGCAGCTCCAGCCAACATCTAACTGCAACGTCATGAGAGCCCCTGAGCCAGAGCCACTAGGCCAAACTCTTCCCAAATTCCTGATTCTCAGAAATTGTGTGAGTTACTATAAATATATTTGTTGTTTTATACTAAAAAGTTTGGGGATAATTACTAAGGAACAATAGATAACTAATACATTAAAGAAATTAGAGCCTAGTACTAGGTTCCAATGGGTAAAAAGTTAGCTATTGAATTATTATGGTGATTAATTTCTTCCACTTGTCTCTCCTCTTTCCCTTCAAAAAAGAATGGCTACATTTTTCATGGAGCACTTAAAAAATATTTCAAGTCTATTACCTCATTGGAATTCTGGGTATAGTGATATATCTTGCTAGACAACCGGAGGCAAAATCTCTGTTCCAGAAGGGCTCCAGTTCCCTAGTCTATACCAAAAGGGTATTAGCTAAGTCAATTTTTTTCAACTTCAGTGTGCATAGGAAGAAATCTGGGGAACTTATGGAAAAGTACAGCTCCCAGGCACCTGCCTCAGCTGGCTGTGGATGTGGTGTGGGCTCTGCCACTTGCCATTTTTAACTTACTGGGGAGAGACAGGGAGGCAAAACTACAAGCCTGAGAATAAAGTGGTTAAGTGGCTTCTCAAACACTGTCCAAGTCTCTAAACACCTCTGAGTCTGGATTGTCATTGTGCTCCACAGAGGAAACCAAGACCAAGAGTAAAGCAGCTCGATTTTCCACTGCTGGACTGTCTGACCTTTGTGACTAAACCACTACTTTTATTAAGGCCAAATCTGCAAAATCTGCCTTCAAGAAAATGATCAGTCTTTTCTTGCAGTTAAACATCTCTAATTTTTTTCATCTTGTTTCATGACTATTCAAAGACAAAAACAATAACAAATTCTGGAGAAAAGGATTTGTAGTAGGTATTACAAAATCTTGTCTTTAAAATGTGGTCCTCAGCCCTACAATATGAGCATCACCTAAGAGCCTCTCAGAAATGCAGAATCTCAGGTCCCTCCCCAGAAATCCGGAATCAGAATCTTTAACAAGACACCAAAGTCATTCCTGCCACAGTCTGAAATGATGCACTCCTCCATTAAAAATTTTTTTTAGGCTGGGCACTGTGGCTCACGCCTGTAATTCCAACACTTCGGAAGGCGGATCACCTGAGGTCAGGAGTTCAAGACCAGCCTGGCCAACATGGTGAAACCCCCATCTCTACTAAAAATACAAAAATTACCTGGGCATGGTGGCATGCGTCTGTAATCCTAGCTACTCGGGAAGCTGAGGCAGGAGAATCACTTGAACCTGGGAGCTGGAGGTTGCAGTGAGCCGAGATCCTGCTACTGCATTCCAGCCTGGGAGACAAAGTGAGACTCCGTCTCAAAAAAAAAAAAAAAAAAAAAAATAGCTATAGCCAAACTCATTTATTTACTTTTGCACTAGAATGAAAATGAGTACTTGTAACAGAGACCCTATGGTTTGCGAAGCCTAAAATGTTTACTATATGGGCCTTGTAAAAAAAAGTTTGCTGAGTCTTGCTCTAGGATAACCAGCAGAAAACCAAGATTCATCAGTGGTTTGCACTTATATACTGAGCCAAAGCTTTGAAGGGTTTGCAAGATCAACATAAGAGCTAAATCTATTGATTGTCTAGTATATGTCAAATTCTCTTTATATAGTATCTAAGTTAGTCCTCACTGAGCCTGGAAAGAGAGCTATTTCTTACTTCACTCAGGAGGAAAGTGAAGTTCCCAAGAGTTCACTAGGTGGCCTACAGTCATGTGGCAAATAACTACTGAGTATGGAATATGAAGCTACGCTTTCTTCACTCCAGGGAAATCTTGCTGGTTCTGGAACAGCAAAGTGCACCGCCAGCCTTCATAACCCTGACTCTCAGCAGAAGCTCTGAAACTAGAAACACATTTTTAGGGAGCACAGTCTTTTGCTGCCCAAGGACCTAATGGCAACAGATAGCTGAAGCTTTCTGCTGCTGATTATAGGGAGTAGGTCTCATCCCCCACAGTACAAAGGTCAGAAGCAAGAAACCAGCTTCTGGGTATAAACATTACAGTTCAGTGCTCTCCTCCTCCACCTCTGAGGGGCAAAAATAAATTTGAGAGTGATGGAAAATCTATTTCATGGACAGAGTAATCATTTCTTTATAGGAGAATCTCAAGATTGGCTCTACCCCTGGATGCATAACTGGGTAGTCCTGGTTCCTCAGGGCCTCTGGGGTCTTTTATAAAGACTTATAAAATGGATAGATTCTAAAAGCCAGTAGGATTTAAAAGTCAGTAGGTGGAACAATTATTTTTTGCTTGTTTTTTGAGACAGAATCTTGCATTGTCACCCAGGCTGGAGTGTAGTTGCGCAATCTCAGCTCACTGCAACCTCCGCCTCCTGGGTTCAAGTGATTCTCCTGCCTCAACCTCCCAAGTAGCTGGGACTACAAGCACTTACCGGAATGCCCGGCTAATTTTCTTGTATTTTTAGTAGAGATGGGGTTTCATTGTGTTGGCCAGGGTGGTCTCAAACTCCTGACCTCGTGATCCACCCGCCTCAGCTTCCCAAAGTGCAGGGATTACAGGCGTGAGTCACTGCACCTGGAACAATTCTTTTTTTTTTTTTTAATTTCTTTGAGCCAGAGTCTCGCTCTGTCACCAGGCTGGAATACAGTGGAACAACCTCGGCTCACTGCAACCTCCGCCTCCCGGGTTCAAGTGATTCACCTGCCTCCTGAGTAGCTGGGATTACAGGTGCACGCCACCACGCCCAGCTAATTTTTGCATTTTTAGTGGAGACAGGCTTTCACCATGTTGGTCTGGCTGGTCTCAAACTCCTGACCTTGTCATGCTCCTTCTGCCCCGGCCTCCCAAGGAACAATTCTTTAATAGAATCTCAGAATTGGGAGGGTGGGGAAGAGGGAGTCATCTTGTCCAGACTGTCTCCCCGAGAAGAGAAATTCTTTTTCAAATATTCAGGATATTCAATCCTTGAACACGCTAATGTTTACTAATATTAGTATGTGAATGTATACTATGTGCTAGGCATTGTTCTAAACACTCTACATGCATTATCTTAATTGTCACAACAATCTCATGAGGCAGGTACTAGTATTATCCCTTCTTGACAGATGAGAAAACAGGTTTTGGAGTTAGTTCACCATTCGCAGTGATTCAGCTAGGGAGTAGGAACTGAATTGGACATAATCAGTCTCTAAAACCTCAATGCTTAACCAGTGAGATCTTGTTAAAATGGGATTGAACACTGCCTGCCTATAGTTCTTTTTCTTTCTTTGAGACAGGGTTTCTCTTTCACTTTGTCACCCAGGCTGGAATACAGTGGCATGATCATGGCTCACTGCAGTCTCAACCTCCCCAGCTCCAGCAATCCTGCCACCTTAGCCTCCCAAGTAGCTGTGACTATAGGCACAGGCCACCACATCCAGCTCATTTTTGGTATTTTTTGAGGAGACAGGGTTTTGTCATGTTGCCAAGTTGGTCTCAAACTCCTGCATTAAAGTGATCTGCCCACCTGGGCCTCCCAAAGTGCTGGGATTACAGGCATTGAGTCACTGTGCCTGGCTTTATCTGCCTATAGTTCTAGCCTATTTGTCCTGCGTCTACACAGGAGCTACCGTTTCTTGGGGACTAGATATGTCAGTGGCTGGGTGACATGTTTTACTGGCATTTTTCCAATTAATACTAACAACAGTCCTGTGAACTTAAAGTTTTTGTCCCTATCTTACAGATGAGGAAATCAAGGCAGTGAGGTAAAGCAACTTGCCTGAGGTCACCCAGTTGGCAAGCTGGGGGCACAGATTTTCAGAGGTTTCTGGGATTCCAAACCCTGTGCTCTCAGACATTTGAGAAAACTCTCAGGTAACACACTCTTCCAATTATACACACACACACACACACACACATATATACACATACACACACACATATATATATTTTCTTCCCTTTCCAGTTTTGAGGCAGTCCCTTGACTAACACCCTCCTTCCTTCAGCTGTTCATCTAGTGAGTGGTACATGGTGCCAAGTGCCCTCCTCATTCCCATCATCTGCTCCAGAGGGTCTTTTGTTTGTCAAAATCCACAGAAAAATACACAGAATACAGTGATCATCAAGCTGGCCTTTTCCTCATTGCCACCCCCCACCAAAAAACCTGGTGGCCTCACTCTCCCAGCCCCAGGGCAATTAATACTGTCTTCTACCATTGCCTCAGGCCAATTTGCTCAACTGGTAGGGCTGATTCTATCAGATTCCTTGTCCATACTTTGTTGTTGGAGGATTTGTCTCAAGGCACCTGGCAAGGCTCAAGGGAAATGACACCTGAGACATTTGTGGCTTTGCCCAGGGGACCTCAGAGTCACCTGCCAGCTCCCAAAAGACAGGCTGCTAAGATAGATTGCATCTGTGAGATACTTCTGGGTATCCACCTGACCCAAAGCCATGAGTTAGGCACCCTGAAGAAAATGCAAAACACCACATGACCCTAACCAAGATGTAACTGAGATCAGAGCTTCTTCCCAAGCCGGTGTGACCGCTTTTGCCAGGCCCCTCCCATGTGACCAGGCTGGAGAGATGGGAAGCCTAAGGATAAGTTGGCTCTGCCAACTTCAACACGACCTGGAATAAGTTGCTGGGCTTTTTATATTTTCATCTGCCAAAGGCCTCAATTCTTTTTATAAAAAATGAGGCCATGAGCAGCAAGGTATGTGTGATAAGACTGAGTGATCTGCAAAGGCAGGCTAAGACTGACTTCCCAGACTCTGCCATTGAGCAACTGGTGACTTGGCGGGGGGTTCCTGAACCTCTTTGGGGCTTATGGGTTCAGGCTGAGAAAGTGTCTCCATTCAGGGTCCCCCACAGCTGACCTGGAAAGTAGGCCAGAGTGGGCAGGGAAATGAAGAAAAGCATAAACCTCTGAAAACCTGCCAGGTCCGTGAGGCAATAACCGGGTCCACCCCTTGACCAGAGCCTCCCCACCACCCTCATTCAGGCCAGCTCCGCGGGCAGGGCAGCCAGGAGGAAGGCTCAGGAACTAGGCGTCTCAGTTCCTGCCCGTCTGTAACCTCCCGCCTCCTGCTAAGCGACCCCCTGCCCTCTCTCGGGGTCTGTTTCTCCGTGTACGCAGGGAAGGCGTGGGCTTGTCGCCCCCTGGAGGCCTTCTAGCTCCGACGTTTTGAAGCCTGGCTCCTAGATTAAACTCCCTTCGGATTCCATTTTCTGGAGGGTCGCAAAAGCTGGGGGCTGGGTGGGGTAAGCCGGGGGACAATAGCAGCTCCAGTCGAGGCCTGAGCCCTTCAAGAGGAGCATCCAGCCAAACGGCTGTGCAGCCAAGGTGCAAGCCGGGGACTGCAAGTCTGCGCGGCGGGGACAGCGTAGCCACTCACCGGCATGACTGAGGCAGCGGCGGTGCGGCAGCGGTGCGGCGGCGGTAAGGCGGCAGTGGCAGCAGCGCCTCTCTGGGCTCGGAGGGCGGGTTCCGCTGCGCATCCGAGAGTGCGCGTTGAAAGCCCGGTCCCGGAGGCCCCGCCCCCTCTGGGCCGGATCGCAGCCAGACGCACCGCCTCCTTCCCTTTGCCTGAGCCCGTGGTCACCCTGCCTGGACGGAAAGAGGAGGTGAGAGGGGCGCTGCGCTGGCCTCCATCGACCGTCGGCCTTTTTCAAAACGTCTACTTCGGGTCAAGCTTGTGTTAGGAAATACAAGAAGGTCACTGCCTTGACCAGGACTGATCCATCCATCCCTAAAAGGACAGTGTCTCTCATTTATTCACCCAGTCAGTATTTATTGAGCGCCAGCTATCTAGGACACAGCAGTGGAAAAGACGTAGCAGGATGCCGCGAAGGATGCAGGCCGTGATAGTGCAGGGTTAGAGGAACTGTCGTGGCAGCGGAGGCAGGGCCTGACTGGAGTGGGGTGGGGGCATGGTGGTGCACGCCTGTAGTCCCAGCTACTCGGGAGGCTGAGGCAGGAGAATTGCCTGAACCCAGGAGGCGGAGGTTGAGGTGAGCCGAGATCGCGCCATTGCCCTCCAGCCTGGGTAACAAGAGCGAAACTCCGTCTCAAAAAACAAAAAACAAAAAAACTTGGATGCCTCATTTTCAAAACCTCCTGTAAGGCTGGGTGAAGTGGCTCATACCTGTAGTCCCAGCACTTTGGGAGGTTGAGGTGGGAGGATGGCTTGAGCCCAGAGTTTGAGACCAGTCTGAGCAACACAGTGATACCTTATCTCTACAAAATTTTAAAAAATTAGCCGGGCTTGGTGATACATACCTGTGGTCCCAGCTACTTGGGAAGCTGAGGTGGGAGGATCACTTGAGCCCAGAAGGTTAAGCCTGAAGTAAGCTGTGATCTTGCTAGTGCACTTCAGCCTGGATGACAGAGCAAGACCCTGTCTCAAAAACAAGAAAGCCCCCCAAAACACCCCTTTCATATACCTACCTGCAAGTGCTAATGTATTACATCCCTTTTGTTTTAAAGATCAAAATTTCTATATTATAGTTCCTCATATCATGATTAAAATCTACTTAACACTAATTAAAATAATACAGACATGTTTTAAAAAAATCACACAGCCAGGCACGGTGGCTCACACCTGTAATCCCAGCACTTTGAGGCTGAGGCAGGAGCACTGCTTGAGGCCAGGAGTTTGACATCAACCTGGTAAAAAAGTGAGACCCTGTCTGTACAAAAAAGATTAGCTATGTACGATGATGGATGCATGCCTATAGCTACTGGGAAGGCTGAGGCTAGAGAACTGCTTGAGCCCAACAGTTCGGGTTGCAGTGAACTATAATTGTGCCACTGAACTCCTGGCTGGGTGACAGAGTGAGACCCTATCTCGAAGAAAAAAAAAAAAGAGAAGAAGAAATCACACAGTATTATAGGGTACAGAATGAAAACTAAGACTTTCTACTGTCCTAGTCAAAGTTTGTCCCCATTAATAACCATTAATATTCACTAACATTTTCTGGTGACTCCTTCCAGACATACCTTGCACGTACAACAGCAAAAACATATGAGAACAAATGTGTAGTGTAGATAACTAAAGCAATACCTATGTCTTAACAGACGTAATCATCCCCTGCTATCCCTCTTCATTATACAAATCCAGGCATACTTTTCTCATTATTCTGTACTTTGCTTCCTTCATTTCCTGATTATCTCTTGGAGACTGCTCTGTAACTATACAAGTAGATCTACCTCATTTTCCGTATGGTTGCATGACAGTCTACTGTAAGAATACTGTTTTGTAGTACTGTATCTAACCAGTATACAGCCAGATATTTTGGTTGTTTTCTGCCTTTCTACTATAAACAATGCTGCAATGACTATTAGTAACTCTTTGCAGAGTTTTTTCAAGAAGAATTTTTTTTTTTTTTGAGAGTCTCACTTTGGTGCCCAAGGTGGAGTACAGATCTCCACTCGCTGCAACCTCTGCCTTCTGAGCTCATATGATCTTCCCACCTCAGCCTCTAAAAGTGCTGAGATTACAGGCGTGTACCACCATGCCTAGCTAATTTTTGAAAAAACAATTTTTGTTTTTGTAGACAGGGTTTCGCAGTTGCTCAGGCTGATCGCTCAAACTCCGGACCTCAAATGATCCACCCACCTCCGCCTCCCAAAATGCTGGGATTACAGGTGTGAGCCACTGTACTTGGCCTGCTGCTTAATATTCTATATTACGGATATATCTCTGTCAAACAGCTTGTCAATTGATGAACATTAAGTGTTCTGTTTTTACGTATTTTTATTTTATTTTATTTTTGAGACGGAGTTTCGCTCTCGTTACTGAGGCTGGAGTGCAATGGCGCAATCTCGGCTCACCGCAACTTCCGCCTCCTGGCTTCAGGCAATTCTCCTGCCTCAGCCTCCTGAGTAGCTGGGATTACAGGCTCATGCCACCACGCCCAGCTAATTTTTTGTATTTTTAGTAGAGACGGGGTGTCACCATGTTGGCCAGGCTGGTCTCAAACTCCTGACCTCAGGTAATCCACCTGCCTTGGCCTCCCAAAGTGCTGGGATTACAGGCTTGAGCCACCGCGCCCGGCCTGTTTTTATGTATTTTAACAATGCTGACAAAGCTGCAGTGAAAATCTTGGCACATGTCTTTGTAAACAAACGTGGCTATCAACCAAGAAGCAACATTATTGTTTTGGGGGATAGACATCATTTTACTAGATATTTAAATTGCTGCCGGGAGCGGCGGCTCACGCCTGTTAATCCTAACACTTTTGGAGATCGAGGCAAGCCAGGAGTTCGAGGCCAGCCTGACCAACACGGTGAAACCCTGTCTCTACTAAAAATACAAAAATTAGCCAGGCATGGTGGCACACATCTGTAATCCCAGCTACTTGGGAGGCTGAGGCAGGAGAATCACTTGAACCTGGGAGATGGAGGTTGCAGTGAACCGAGATGGCACCACTGCACACCAGTCTAGGTGACAGAGCGAGACTTCATCTCAAAAAAAAAATTGCTTGGCAAAAAGCTCTTCATCACTTAAAACTCCCTCTGAAAGTGAAGAGTAGCCATGTCCTTCATCGCGAGTCACCTGGGTTAAATTACTAATCTGTAAATGTTCAATTTCGCCAGTCTTACTAGTTTTTCCATTTGGACAGTCATGTTGTGAAATGCCAATCTCTTAGTCTACCTTTTAAAAAACTTTGCAGGGCTTCTCCACGGCCCTCAGAATAAAGGCCAGGTTCCTTTGCAGGGCTAACAGGATCTTGGAGAGTCCCTACTCCAGGAAACTTCCACTGGCTTGTCTCCTGGGGACTGTTCTCTGGTTTTGGGAGCGCCCGGGAAACCGCGAGCCGGGAAGCTCATTTCAGACTTAGGCCTGGGGCTCCACCGATGCCGACGGAGCCCGGCTGCTGCGGGAGTGGGGCCCTGAGGGACCAGAAGGGACTTTCACTTCGCCTCCTGGGCCTCCCGAGTTTCAGGCTCGGGCTAGTCCCGCGCAAAGAGGCGAGTGTGCCCGGCTCCCCGCAGGCTGCCGCCGGCGCCCGTGCTCCTTCGGCTCGCCCCTCCCTCCACCCTCCCCGCCCCCCCGGGGCTCCACGTGCTTCATTTCCAAAATTCTCAGCAAAACTCCGCTGGAGACCCTCCCGCCTGGTCACATGCCTGGAACGAGAACACACCGGGGCGTGCCTGTGCCCGATGGCTGAGAACCAAAGCTATTTCCATAGAAAATGCCCACGGTGTCCCAGAGGGCCCGGCCAGCCTTGAGACGCAGCCCGGGCAATGCCCGAGACGCCAGACGGAGTGGACCAGTTGCCCTTTAAAGGCGTAGCGACGAGAATAAGCCCCCGCCCGCTTATTCTCGTCCCAGCAATTCAAGGTTGTCAATATTGGTGCGGCTCGGGACGTGGCGCGAGGGCCCAAACTCCACCGGAGGACGCGGCGACTACCATGCCTCAGCCGCCACAAAGGGAGCCTCGCCACACGCCCGCGGTCGCTCCGCAGCGCCCGCCCTGAAGCGCCCGGTGGAACGGCGCGGGAGCTACTCTCCTCCCTCTGCCCCGCAGCAGTGCTGACTAATGGTGATAGCGCGCAAGGCTCTCTGCCGCCGCACGGAATAAAAAAAGTTGTTATAAAAAAGAAGAAAGCAACCCGGGAAACTCTGCCACTTGGCACCCCGGGTACCAAATTGTGCTGAAAAGGCGGGGTAGGGGCCTCAGAGGCCAGACCCAACAAGTAAGGGAAAGAAAGAAAAAAGGGCAGAAGCCTCAGCCTACACAACCTCACAACCGCCCAGAGGGCACGGCGGACCTGGGTCTTGGTCTCTTCGGAGCAGCGCAACCTCCGTGTCAATCAGCTCCTTCCGGCGTTGCGATTGGCGACAGGCTTTCTTGGCCTCTCGGGCGCCCGCCTTCTAGTTGCTTGGGGTTTACTTCCCCAAAGTACACGGGCCCCACCTTGTGGAGCAACCGCTCCTGCATGGAAAACGGATCTCCGCCCAGGGAAGACGCGTTAACGAATAAGAGCAGTCATTTCCATTTATTGGCTATTTTGGGTATCAGTCAAAGACCTGCTCGCCCGCTTTTCCACTATACTTTTCGGTTATTGGTCTCTCTTAACGCCAATCTGTTACTAGGGAAACGAGATCCTCAGAATCTCATAGGCATTAGTGAAAGCCAATCAAGAGCTACGCCTTCATCCCGACTCAGTACCCAATTGCTGTTCGAAGAGCGCGGAGGACGCGGTCGGGATTGGTCATTTCCTCGCCCAACCTGGCCGCAACAAGTTAGGGTGAGTGGCAGTTATATACACCGGCGGCGGAGCACGCGTGTGTGCGGACGCAGTTGCGTGAGGCTTTTCTGCCATCCTCGGTGCTGTGGAGCAGAGCTAGTTCTTCTCCAGCTTAGCCGCGCAGGTACGCCAGTGTGTGGGCGGGGCAGGGAAGCCCAAGGACGAAGCCAAGCGGCAGCAGTTGTGAGAGGGAGAAGTCTGGGTGGCGTTCGCGGCGGCCGCGCCAGGCGCGTCCCCCACCCCCACCCCCACCCCAACGGCGGCAGGCGCGCGCGGCGAATGGACGGGCGCGCGGCGGGTCTCCGCTCCCCCTCCCCTCACGGCTGGGGCGCGTGGCCGTGTCCGCCGCGTGCGCGTGCTGCGTCCAATTGCCACGCGGGGCGGGAGTGAGCCGCGGCCGCCGCCCGGGCCCCGGGGCAGTCTCGGGGGCCAGGGGCCCCGCGCCCAGCGTTTTCCGCCGGCCACCTCCTCCGCCACGCGCCCGCGGAGTCTTTTTCTTCTCCTAGTGGAGGGATCCAGTCGGTCCGGACCAGAAGTAGGCTTTCGTTTAGGGGTGGGGACAGCACTAAAGTCTGATTGGAGTCTTGCGGCCCCCGAAGCAGAAGTGTCCTCGGTTTTGCAGGGAGGAATGAGGGAGCAGCGAGTGCACGGAGCGATAGTAACAACGAATGTTTTTTTCCACGCCCTCACTATGTGCCAAGCACAGTGCGGAGCCACTTTCTGCCTTTAATTTGATTCTCACAGTGAGCCGGCGAGGTAGGTACGGTCATCCTTCCGCAGCGGCCCGAGGCGCGGGGCTGGAGAGCGGGGTCACAGACTCACACGGGAAGGGCGGGGATGCCGGGCCCTCTGACTCACAGGCCCCCCACCCCCCTTCCAAGTCTGTTTTATTCTTTGCCCCCAGAGCACTTGTCTCTGGAGGCAGCATCAGCTCAAAAGGCCACCTGCCGAGAAGGCTGCGGCGGCATTTGTACTTGGCGAGTTCTGGGCTTCCAGGGAGACAAGGGTTGGAAGTGGGAATGTGACAAAGAGAAGGGTTTGGGCTTTCTGCGTGTATTCGTACAGGCTGTGGGTAGATGTGCCGCCACAGTAGCTTCTGGAAAAAAGCAGGGAAAAAGACAGTAAGTGCAAATGAACGTGGACGGTGTTCCTCATCTGGTTTGAAACTCAGGTTGGTGATGGGAAATTCCCGCCAGCCGGGAGTTAGGCTCGGTTGTAGACGTTGAATCTTTTTTTTCTCTGCCTTTTTTTAATTTGGAGGAGACTTTTGGAGAAAGACTTTGAGACAATTATAGTTGAAGGAAATGAGATACAAAGCGACGAGTTTCAGATGTCACCAGCATCTGTGGGTTAAAATATGGAATTGGAATGAAAAGGCTAGTGCCCGGTTACGGTACACTTTTGATCTGTGTGGCGCGTGTCACGCTTGATTAATTACTGGTGTTGGAGACGTGTTGGAAAAAACACGTGTCGAGGTCTTCTGTGGATGAAAGTTTGTCTATACTCTATTTCTTCAGGGACTTGAGTTTATATTTTTCTAGTACAGTTAACATATTTTAGATTATTTGAAAGCTAGTATACTCCTTGGCTTAGTGAAATAAATGTTCCTGTGTTACAGAAACACTTCTATAAACATAAACATTTCTGTAAACATGTTCTAGAAACCCTTTCTATAAACATATTTCTATAACAGCATTAAAATATAACAATGTTCCAAGTAACATTTACTTGGGGAACTTGCCTGGTGTAGCAATTCCAGTTACCTGCCCTTACATATTCGTTAACGATTGAATTAACATTTTAATTTAGACTTAAGGATGAACAATTTAGGCTGTCAAATGGAAAAAACAGTAGAATGACCTACTTTTAAACTGTTTAAGCTCGAGTCCAGCTAATTTTATTACTGCTTGAGGTAAAATAGAATGAAATTATTTTACATGTTATTGAGGGAAGATTTTGTTAGTTTCTACTTAAAATATTTTTAAAAAATAACTGTTCTTGGCCTCAGGCAAAGGTTATCACTTGGTCAGGAATATGAAAATTATGTGATTATTTCACAGATTGGTGCTTCAACTGCTCACTTGTGCATTCCTTTGTCAGGAACAAGTGAATGGAAGCAAATAGTGGTAACATAAGGCTTGGGCTGCCCTAAACCCTACCAAATTATACGTTAATTTTGTTGGAGCTGCTACTTACCGGTGGAAAAGTGTAAACTTTTGTCCTTCTTACAGGTAGAAAAGTAGGCAGTTCTTTGTTCTTTTTCTCAGTTTGCTGTTCTCAGCTGACAGTCCACCAGGGGAACATTAGGAGATTTTGGTAATGTTTCTTTGTGACCTACTTAGAGCAGTTTTTCTTTTGCAATTTATGTTATGGTTTTTCTTCTCCCCGCCCCCCCCCCACTCGTTCTAATGTTTGCATAGAAAGTAAACAACAGAGGCAGGTTTAAGTTTTTGTAAAAGTTTGTGAATGGTATATGGTCCTTAGGACTGAGGGGGCTAGTGTTAAAAGATAAAATTTAACATAAAACCAACATTTGTGACTAAAGCCAATTTTTTTTTTCTTTTATTTTTGTCAGTCTAATAAAACTGCCCACTTGGTCTTAACATTTGCAAATTGATTGGTTACTTTTTTTAAGGTTTCAGAATTCAAATAAGCATTGTATGTTGTTTGTTTAATTATATTGTGCTTTGGCTGCCTTGGACAAAACTATTACTGACTTTACAGAGAAGAATGGATAATTGTGGAAGTAGGTAGGTCGAAAAAGAAAAAAAACAAAAAACAAACTGCACCCTTCCCCCAGTAGTTTGTTAACAGCAAGTGGGAAAAACCTGTGGTAGTGCAATACTGCCCTTCCAAGCCCTGGAGTTAAATTTAGATTCAGCAACTGTTATCTCACATGTAGTTGGTGATCACAGTGTGGTGGCAAACTAGGTTTATAATTTTATATCTCAGAAATCAGCTATTTATTTCTTTTTAAAGGTATTCTAGGACATCCTGTCTGGCTTCAGTTGGGAAGGCTAAGGCAAGGCAGGTGATATGGTTAAGAGTAGGAATGATTCACATACATGAATAGTGTCTTAATCTGTCTTTCGAGGTGGAAAGCAATAAAAAAAAATGCTCTCACTCCCTGTAGCTTAGTAAATAAGGTCTTGAGGTGGCTTTATGACAGAGTCCCTCTTCTGTCAGATGGCTGTCTATCATGTAATACTGCTTAGTTTTTGGTATGCATGTTGTATCTTAGGTACTTAATAAAATAAAAATTATAGATGATTCAGAGATGTGGCTTCCTGGATGGTACACACAAGGCCTTTGTAGGGATGTAATCTTTGGTGGCTGTTAACTTCATTGGTTTTATAAAGCATCATGTATTTGTATAACCCTTTGCATATTTTGAAAGTGCTTTCACACATCTTTGGTATTACCATTTTTTTTTTTTTTTAACTAAGAAGTGAATTGGGGCTCTGAAACGGAATTGTCCAAAGTATTTTGAAAAGCATGCGGTACCTAATAGTGTACTATAGCCTGCTATTTACTTAATTAAAAAATCTTAGGGGGATTTTGAATATGGAAGGTAAGAATGTGACACCTACCTGCCTTTGCAGGCTTATTCCACATGCTGTTTATGCAAAGCTGTTGGCTGTGCCTTAAGTACACCCTTGTTCCTGGACTCTGAGGTTGCCTAGAGTTTCCTGGAGTATATCCACCTGTCTTGATCATCTATTTAAGAATTTTGCAGATGAGCATCAGTATTAACTAACATATCTTTTCACTTGATGAGCAAGATTGATTTTTTATTAATTATGAACCTGAGTAGGTTTTAACTTCGAAGTGGGGAAGGGATACACTAAGGTAAAAGATAAAAGTTAAGTATTCTGATTCCTGAAGGGTTTTTCTTTCAGAAAAACGGTATTTTTGAGATAAAATTTGTGGAAGAGTTGCAATTTATATACTTATTATCCAGTGTTAACATATTACAGTCAGGGTACTTTGAACAGAACTGATAAATTAACATCAATAAAATACTGTAAACTCAATGACAGACTGTATTTGGATTTCCTGTTTTTCTACTAAAGTCCTTTTTCTGTTTCAGGATCCAGTCCAGGATGCCACATTGTATGTAGTCTCCTTAGTCTCCTGATCTGTGTCACTTTGTCTTTCCTTTTGACTTTCTTGACCATACACTTGATGTCATTTGGATCTGATATTAAGATTACACTGAAGTACGGATTTTAGGGGAAGAATACCACAGAAATTACCCTTATCGAGTCATATTGGGGGTCCATAATATATACCTCGTTGAATTTAAACTCATGATTTTGTTAAGGTGGTATCTGTCAGGTTAGTATTTTTTCCCCTTTCCATACTATTTCTTAGGTGCTAGTTACTAAGTCCTGGTCACACTCAAGGAGAGAAGAGAATTAGACTCTACTTCTCTAGAAGGAGGAGAATGTGAATTTGTGGACATACATTAAAGCTACTGTTAATATTTTGGCATGCAAATAAAGTTCCCCTTCTTAATTTTAGCATTTTAGGATCTTGTCTGCAGGTATTACTGCAGATAGGTATTACTGTTCTAATAGTGATTTAAAAAAAAATTTGCCCAATTCTTTCTACAGTATTATAAATTCTCTGTAAGGAAGATTTGTGTATTCTTCATTTGTTTCTTTTCAGTCATTTATGTGACTGTAGACCATGGATATTAATTTTGTTCTTTGGATTGTAATCCACCATTATCCTTGCTGATATTTACTTATTTTTTAATATTTATTTTATTTTCTATTTTTATACAGTATTTTTCAGGCTGGTCTTGAACTCCTGGGCTCAAGCAATCCTGTCTTGGCCCCCCAAAGTGCTGGGATTACAGGTGTCAGCCACTGTGCCTGGCCACAGATTATTTTGTTCATATTGTTCCAGCTTTTTTTTTGGCTCTTTTGTTTTGATACTTGCCTGTCTTTTCTGTTTTTTAAAAGCATTTTCTTTCTTTCATTAATTACCAGGTGTTTCAGACTCGTATCTTGTATTTTGCCTGTCTCAGGTCCGGAATCAACCATTTCTCCAAGGAGCTGTCAAGAAGAATTTTGAAGGGAGGGTAACAGGTGGTAAATGTGAAGAGTTTGGAAAATAGATTGACGGTAGGCGCAGTAATGGTGATACTGCTCTTGCTCTAAGTACAGACATTGGCTTCTGTATTCAAGTTACTCTGGTTTTGGTAAAAGATTTTTTTTCTAAATTCCTATGATTTAGAGTACCGAATATCAAATGTTTGAATACATAGCATAACTCTGAAACAAAATTTACAAAAATTTGATATATGCTTGAGTCTTTCCAGACTGTTTTATTGATGGGATAATTTTTTTTAATAGCTTTATTGAGGTATAATTGACATAAACTGCGTGTTTTAAAAATGTACTGCTTGATAATTTCAGATACCACCTGTATTTCCAGCTTCTCAAAAGACTGAGGTGGCAGAGACAATTACTTGAGCCCGGGAGTTTGAGGCCGCAGTGACCTATGATCATGCCACTGCACTCCAGCCTGGGCAACACAGCAGACTCTTAAAAAAAAAGTATACCCATGAAACTGTCACCACAGTCAAGGTGGTGAACGTATCTGTTACCGCCAAAAGTTTTCTCATGTCCCTTTTCCCTTTCTTACTTGTTCCTCCCACCCTTCTCCCTGCAGGAAATCCTTGGTCTTTCTATAACTGTAGATTACTTTGCATTGTCTAGAATTTTTGTGTAAATAAGTTATGTTCTTTTTTTGTTGCTCAGTGCTAGTCTGTTGTGTAGGCGTATCACAGTTTATTGATTTACCTGTTGGTGGACATTGAAACATGCAAAACCTGTGTTTTCAGCTTTTTGACTATATTAAAAATAAAGCTTCTGAACTTTGTGTACAAATCTTTGTATGGATATATGTGCCTTTATTTCTCTTGGGTAAATGCTTAATAGGGGAATGTTTAGTTCATGTGATACATGTATGCCTAATTTAGAAAGAAACTCCCTGTTTTCCAAAGTGGTTGTACCATTTTACAGTCCCACCAGTAATATTTGGAGGTTTCCATTTCTACCAGCAGCTGGCTAACAGTGTGTATGGTTAGTCTTTTTAATTTTAGTCATTGTGACAAGTGTTTAGTGGTACCTCACAGTTTTTACTTTGCATTTCTGTAATTAATAATGATCAGCATTTTTCATTTGGCATTCATGTAATTTATTTGGTGAAGTTGTCTTTAAATCTTTCGATCCTGTGTTATGGGATTGGTTACTTAATTATTATCTTTTTTTTTTTTTTTTTGAGACAGAGTTACGCTCTTGTGTCCCAGGCTGGAGTGCAATGGCACGATCTCAGCTCACTGCAACCTCAGCCTCCTGAGTTCAAGCCGTTTTTTTGTCTCACCCTCCTGAGTAGCTGGGATCATGCCTGGCTAATTTTTGGGTTCTTTGTAGAGATGGGGTTTCACCATGTTGGCTAGGTCTGGAATTACTGACCTCAGGTGATCTGCTTGCCTTGGCCTCCAGAGTGATGGGGTTACAGGTGTGGGCCACTGCACCTGGGTGGTTTCTTAATTTTGAAAGTACTTTATGTATTCTGGATAGAAGTTTTTAAAAATCAGAGATACGGGCTGGGCGTGGTGGCTCACATCTATAATCCTAACACTTCAGGAGGCTGAGGCAGGAGGATCACTTGAGGCCAAGAGTTTGAGACAAGCCTGGGCAACATGGTGAAACCCATCTCTAGTAAAACATCCACCTTTAGCTGGGCATGTTAGTGGGTGCCTGTAATCCCAGCCTCTTAAGAGGCTGAGGCATGAGAATTGCTTGAACCTGGGAGGTGGAGGTTGCAGTGTGTGGCACTGCACTCCAGGCTGGGTGACAAAGCAAGACACTATCTAAAAAAAATTAGATACATGCTTTGCAAATATTTACTCCTAGTCTTTGGCTTGCCTTTTCATTCTTTTGATGGTGTCTTGCAGAGCAGATAGTTTTAATTTTGATTCAGTGTACGTGATCAATTTGCCTTCTTCATTTGCTTTTGGTGTTTCTAAAATCTTAGTGTTGTGCAGATTTTCCCTAGAAATTTTGCTCTTTAATTACACTGAATCATTTTGAGTTAAATTTTGTATGTGTTGTGAGGCATGAATTGAGGTTCTGGTTTTTGTTTTTTGCATATGATATCTAATTGTTTCAGTACCAATTGTTGAAAAGAGTATACTTTTTCCACTGAATTGTCTTTGCACTTTTGCTGGAAATATATTGTCTCTGTGGATGTGTTACTGAACCCCATTCCGTTTCATGGATCCATTTGTCTCTCTATGTCCAGACTGTGTAGCTATGTACAATATCTGGTATTTGTATTAAAAACACTTTTACATATATGTAAGGCTATCATACAGTACATATTTGGCAACTCTTTTTTTCTTTTTAATGTTTGTGTGCTCACTTTCTGACAGATATAAATAGGGTGACATATGTCTTGGTTTGCCAGGGACGGTCCAGATTCACTTCAGTTAATCTGACACAATTAATAGTAGCTGTTTTCAATCTTAAAAGTGCTCTCATGGTTGTCTTAGATACAGAGGTTTCCCTAATGTGAATAAACCACAACTTAATAACCATTCCTTGTTCGATGGATATGTAGGTTGTTACCGATGTTGTACTTTAGAAATAAGTTGGCAGTTATTTGTTTTTGTTTTGTTTAATTGGGTTTCTTTTGTGTATGTACCTAGAAGAGAACTGCTTGATTTTCATCAGAGTGTTTTTGATTTTATTAGATAACTGCAAAATTGTTCTCCATTTTCAAAGTTCATTTGTCATGTTTTATTCATCTTAAAGGTAGCCTTTGAAAACTCGTAAACTTTCTTAATTTTGGATGGTTCATTTGAAACTGGTAAATTCAAGGTCGTTTAATAATATCTTTCTAGATCTTAATGATATCAGTGTATATCATCCTTAAGAATATTACTTATATTTCATCATCTGTTGATATATGTTGTTATATTAGGAACAGCCAAAGTCCGTAGTTGCAGAAATTTTCAAAACCACTTTAGAAAAGGACTTAGTGTGCTGAGAGTGTTTCTAAATGAGGGAGAGCCTTGGAAATTTTTAGCAAACATTTTCTCCCACCCCGCAATACTAGCATGTGTTTTCATTGATAATGCATTAAACTTTTTTCCTTTTGTCACCCATGCTGGAGAGCAGTAGCACAGTTTCGGCTCACTAGAGCCTCTGCCTCATGGGTTCAAGCATCAGCCTCCTAGCTGGGATTACAGCCAAGTACCACCACACCTGGCTAATTTTTTTTAATTTTTAGTGGAGACAGGTTTCACCATGTTGGCCAGATTGGTCTCAAACTCATGACCTCAGGTGATCTGCCTGCCTTGGCCTCCTAAAGTGCTAGGATTACAGGTGTGAGCCATCATGCCCAGCCAATCATGCATAGATTAAAAAAAAAAATCCCCCCCCAGAGGTAATTCATAGATTTCATAAAATATTTGTCACAGTGGGTTAATAACTAGCAAAGCACTGTCTTTTCTGTGACTCATCTGTTTAAATTTGCTTGCTTTAATTATTTTTAGATTTGATAGAATTGAGAGTTGATGAACAAGACTGAGAATTCTTGAGAAGTATTATGTTCACATTTCTTATAGCTTGTGTTTTATGTTTGGGCCAGAAAAGATTTCAGAGAGATGATGTACAATTTTTTCCTAACTAGGATTTATTGATGCTCTGTATAGATTCAGATTGCCAAAATTTACTACATTTTTTTTTTCTGCGAATGAGCAAACAGGTTTTTTTTTTTCTTTTTTTTAAAGGCAGAGTCTTGCTCTGTGGCCCAGGTAGAGTGCAGTGGTGCAATCTTGGCTCACTGCAATCTCTGCCTCCCAGGTTCAAGTGATTCTTGTGTTTCAGCCTCCTGAGTAGTTGGGATTACAGGTGTTTGCCACCACGCCTGGCTAATTTTTTGTATTTTTAGTAGACACAGAGTTTCACCATGTTCGCCAGGCTCATCTCGAACTCCTGGCCCCAAGTGATCTGTTTGCGTTGGTCTCCCAAAGTGCTGGGATTACATGTGTGAACCACTAATTTCAGCCCAGACTTTTTTTTTTTTTTAACTGGGAATAGCAAAATTATTCACAAAACTTTTGGTGTGTGGTCTTCAATTAGCTAAGAACTTATTAAACGTTCTTTTATTTTTATACTTTTTTTTTTTTTTTTGAGATGATGGGGTCTTTCTCTGGCACCCAGGCTGAAGTGCAGTGGCATGATCATAGCTCACTGCAGCCTCAAACTTCTGGGCTCTAGCATGCCTTCCGCCCCATCTACCTGAGTACGTGAGACTTAAAGGAATGTGCTACCACATTTAGCTAATTTATTTTTCTTTCTTTTTTTTTTTTTTTTCCATTTTTTTGGAGATAGGGTCTTGCTTTGTTGTTGCCCAGACTGGTCTCAAACAACATTTTTAATAATTAAAGAAACAGTGTCATATCTGCTGTCTTAATCTAAATGGTGGAAAACCAGATAAGTCAGTTTTGATAGTTGGTGAGAAATCAACTCTGCTATTATAAAATTCCAACTTCTTGTTTTTGTGTGAGAAAGTTGAATTAAAAAAATTGTGCTTTTAACTGTGCTCGGTGGCTCACACCTGTGATCCCAGCACTTTGGGAGGCCAGGCTGAGGTTGGGAGTTCGAGACCAGCCTGGCCAACATGGAGACCCTGTCTTGACTAAAAATACAAAAATGAGCCGGGCATGTCTGTAATCCCAGCTACTTAGGAGGCTGGAATTCTCCTGAGGCAGGAGAATCGCTTGAACCCAGGAGGAGGAAGTTGTGGTGAGCCTAGATCACAACATTGCCATTCCAGCCTGGGCGACAAGAGTGAGATTTAGTCTCAAAGAAAAAATGTGTCTGTTATGTGTCAGACATCAAGTTTTGGGGCTAAAAACTTGGATAAGAAATGGACTCTGCTCTTAAGAAACTTACTATTTGGGGAAAAGTTTGTATTCTTTATTCAGTATGTTTCATCTGACCATGACTAATGTAGAATTTGTGAAGCCTTTGACTATTTTAGTTTAAGACTTGAGTATTTTTTTAAGCAGTGAAGCAACATAGTTTTATTTTATTTTATTTTGAGAAGGAGTCTTGTTTTGTTGCCCAGGCTGGAGTGCAGTGGTGTGAACTCGGCTCATCATAACCTCTACCTCCCAGGTTCAAGAGATTCTCCTGCCTCAGCCTCCCGAGTAGCTGGGATTACAGACTCGTGCTGCCACGCCTAGCTAATATTTGTATTTTTAGTAGAGCTGAGTTTTCACCATGTTGGCCAGGCTGGTCTTGAACTCCTGACCTCCTGATCTACCCGCCTCAGCCTCCCAAAGTGTTGGGGTTACAGGTGTGAGCCACCATGCCCGGCCTGATTTTTTTAATGAAATGAAATTCATATTTAGTTATGTGGAATTAAAAAAATACTGGTACTGTTTCGCTTGAGCTCTTTGGTGGATATTATCAATAGATATATTTATTTACATTAAAGGAGTGATTTCAGGAGAAGCTGCTACTTAAATGGAACTGTTCATAGTGTAAATGGGAGACTATAAGGGTATTGAGGCATATCTAATGTTGAAACTTAACTTCAGTCCTAGAGTATTGAAAATTTGGTTTAGCTAGCAGCTGTTGCATGTTTCTGAAGTTGACAATCTCAACTCAAAGTAGCATCTGTTTGGAAAATTAAATGCTGATTAAGACCTGAGTTTGCAAAATGATGTAAACTGTTAAAATATTAACGTAAGGATGAAATGATCTGCCTGCTTCAGCCTCCCAATGTGCTGAGATTACAGGTGTGAGCCACCGCGCCCAGCCAACTTTTTTTTTTTTCTTTTGGTTCCTATACTGAGAGATGAATTCTTTTTT